TTCCACATCCCCGCAACCAGGACCGTCCGGGTTGAATCGGTGGAGAAGAGGAGAATCGCCGAACCAAGGGGTGGAACCAAGGGGAACAATCAGCCGGAATAGAGGAGCTGCCCAGGAGTTTGCCTTGTAGGGGTTTGACGAGGAAGGTTGCCTCGACGAGTGACCGCCTAGGCCTAGAGGTTTGAGGAGGAAAGTTGCCTCGGATTTGCAGATCTCGATTGAGTCTGAATTACAGGACTCGTAGGAGCTTATATATGTACCGTTGTACCGAGGTGCGGTCTCTCGATGGAGCCGACACAATCGGAGTCAGGGTCTTCGTCGGAGGTTCTCAGCCTCAGACGGTACGCAGGTCTCTAAAGGAGCCTAGAATATATCACTGTTTCGATGCAGGGGGCTATCGAACAGGATCTTCGCCTCAGGTTGGGCTACCTCGGGCGGTACGCAGGTCTCTGGAGGAGCCTGGTGTATCTCTGTGTGATGCAGGAGGCTATCGGACAGGATCTTCGTCGGAGGTGGTCAGTCTCGGACGGTATCGCAGGTCTCAGAAAAGGAGCATGGAGAATTTACCGCTGTTTCGATGCAGGGGGCTATCGAACAGGATCTTCACCTCAGGTTAGGCTACCTCGGGTGGTATATTTCGTAATGCGAGTAGTGGTTGCTAGGCATTATAAATGGCCGCGTCAAGGAATGGCAGCCTTGACGGGAGCCTCGTGAAGCGAGCCTGTGAGCTGTGAGCTCCAAAAGGTCTTGAGTTTGATGACAGGGTTTTTTCAATCAAACCGTGGAAGATATGTTAAAAGCTTTTATTGAATAGTCAAAACGGACAATAAATGCTATAACTTAACATAAACAAGTTATTTACCATAGAATAAGATTTATTACATATTGCTCTGTCTCGTTCTTCAGCTATGCACCCCCACTTGAAGAACTGCAAACGTCGGATCGCTTTCCTCTGATCTCCTCTGATCTCCATACCTTTGGCTGAACGCTCGTGAATCGTCCGTCAAAATTTCCAGTAAAAAGCGCCCGTCGCCGTTGTCGACGTCGGATCTCGTTCCCCACTGGCCTCTCCGGATAGTTGATGTCGGCAGTAGAGATAAAATTAGCGAATCACATAATAACTTTAGTTTCACATCAGTACTAAGTGAATCTTTATGAATATTAAGCAGTTTTAATTTCCCGTACGATTTTTATACTAAATAGTTTACATGCTTTTGAAATCTTAAATTAACATCCAAATATACTCCAAGGTTTTTGCATTCTTCTTTGGGCTTAATTACTTCACCATTAACAGAAATTCGAAAGTCAGGATGCAGGGTTACTAGTTCCCTATTTTTTCCGAATACTAGCAATTCCGTTTTGGCTTCATTCAAAATAAGTTTATGAGCAGTACATAGTCGTGAAAATTTACACAAGTCTAAATTTATTTCATCAATGGCTATATTAATATTACTATATGGAAATGAACAATATACCTGTGTATCATCAGCATACTGGTGAATTTTGCAACTAGATAGATATGTAGAAAAGTCTGCAGTGTAGACTGATAATAATAAAGGGCCCAATACACTACCCTGAGGAACTCCTTTATTTGTGACCCTGAAATCTGAAGATTTACCACAACACAACACCTTTTGACGCCTGTTGCATAAATAATTTTTAAAAAATAATTGAGGAATATCTCCAAGACCGAAAAATTTAAGTTTTTTAAGCAAAATGTTATGATCCAACGTATCAAATGCTAAATCGGCGCTTAAATCTAAAAGAATCAAGCAAGTACTAAGATATTTGTCATTTGATCGAAGTATATTATCTGTGATATCTAAAAGGGCCGTAGTTGTGCTATGATTAGCCTTAGATCGCGCGGACATTTTCGGCGGCAGCTAGGAAGACGTGAAAACCTATTATGGCTTAGCTGGACGTTAGTAGTCGCACGATTCGGCTCGAATTTGGATATGTTAACCACCTAGGGATGCTCTAGTGTGGTTTTGAGGTTCGGCCGAGATCGAATGAGCGGAACGGCGAAAAACGCGGAAAACGTAAAATCCGCGTTTTCCCGTATAACGGCGTTTTGGCTCATCTGATTCGGACGAAATTTTAGGGAAATAATGCCAGCGACTTGAGGAGTGCTGCATTAAATTTTGACACCGATTGCTCAATAAGTTTTTGAGTTATTGACGAAAATATCGCCCTGAAGCGCGCCGGGGGTCGTCTGCAGGTTGCGAGAGTCGCTGCAGTTGATACTGAGCGCCGGGATGGCAGACCCAGGCGAGATCGCCCGCGATGCGGGTGACATTGAAAACATCGGTGAAATTGGTCTTTAGACTTCGGAGGCGCTATCGCCAGGAGGATCGATGTCATGTTATGAGGCGACGTCCGCACTGAGATGCAGAGTCGCGGAAATCGCTCTCAGACGGTATCGAGTTCGATGTCTGAAATGATACCGTGGAGGCTTTTTTGATTTACCCGGCCGACGGCGATTAGTTTTGCAACCGTGGCGGGTTTTCGGTTTGGAATGGAAAGGTAGGCGAATTTGGGTGTTTCGCCTCCTTCCCAATTCAACGGTCTCAGGCATATCCGTAGGTACAAGACGGCGTCTAGGAATATACTGAGTGTTCTGAAATCCTGAAACTTGCTCGAAGAGTGGAATACGACACCATGCTTTTATTCAGACAAAGCACTAACAAAAATGTATCATTAATGTATGGATGGGAATAACTGGAAACTACTTAGTGGATCCACATATCATTGATGACACTTTAAGTGGAGATAAATACCTATATTTACTGCAAGAACACCTTAACCCGTTATTGGAAGACGTCCCTTTAAATATTGGCAATAACATGTGGCTTATGCCCGATGGTGCACCACCCCATTTTAGCAGGGAAGTAAGGGCTTATTTAAATACCACAGTTCCCAATCGATGGACCGGTCGATGTAGTCCTTTTCCGTGTCCCCCTCGGTCTCCCGATCTTATCGCTCTCGATTTTTTTTCTTTGGGGCCATCTAACTAGTAGGGAAGAATAATTAAATCGCATAGTTACATACACCGACATCGTTAGAAATGATCACCACATGTTATTGCGAGTACGACAGAGGTGATTGAGCAATTTCAGAAAATGCATTGAAGTTCAAGGTGCACATATTGAACAATCCTCTTTTTTCTTTTAATTCTATAGAAACTATTTTACAAAAATGTTAGTTATCACATTTTGGATACAATAAAGGTATGTTGTTAATAAAATACGATTTTCTCAAAAACGGTACAAGATATATCGACTGATATACGGTATACCTTTTTTAGCAAAGAGAGGAATCGAGCTATGAAGGAAAATGTATTATTTGGCAACGCTGTCAAAGATGTATAAATTTAAATTAATAATTTTGTCTGCTCCTGTATAATCCAGGCATATTGAATATCAGTTCAAACTTCGAAGTGAACATTACCACGAGTTACTTTAATTGCCCAAAACTTAGAAGTTGTAATTGGAATTTGTTCTTCAAACTTCTTTCTTTGAAGGCGAATAACTCCACAACAAAGCCCGATAGGAAAAACAATTTTATGAAGTACTACATCTATTTCGAACTCCCCTGTATACCCTTTCATTTTTGACATGACCTTTCTGAACACCCTGTATATCCGGTAATCTGACACATTTTTCAATTAATGTATTAGAAAAACATTTTAATAATATACTCAGAATATTATATCATACGCACACATATTAACATTAGGATGATTCTCTTGTCATCCAATGTAATTACTTCTAATGCATTCTGTATAGGTTATCAACGTATTTGTGTATTAAATTCATCGGAAAATGTGTCAGATTATCAGTCAACCAGAAATTAGTATATAAATGGCTTCATACAAAATACACAATGTTGGCAGAATGATACATATTACCATTTCAAAAACTGTAAAGTAAATGCAATTGTCCGTAGCTGGCCACAAACTGGCAAACCATCTATTTATGCACAAATGATGGAAAATTAAAAGATGGTCGGCTACTGACCGCTGGAAAGTTTGCTTGTGGTCCATTTATGGCTTCCTATAAGTGTACCAATTATGCAATTCTGGTATCTGTATATATGACCATTTATGTACCAATGATCAATGTTGATTAGGTTGAAACATTTTTATTTTATAAAAATGACAAATTACGCAACATTAACTCTGTATTGTATAATAAAGAGCTTCATGAGTATTCCAAATTGATAAAATATTAATTTTGAATTTATGCGCATCAATATGATAAGGCAAATAATTTTATAGTTCATGTTTTTTTGCTAATACTTTCATAATTATTAGCAGACAGCGGACAATTTGTGTCTTTAACCTTGAACATAAATATGTAATTCATAAACATAAATACATTATTCATGTCGCAGTGACGCGGCGTGTCGGGTACGCATTGGGAATTTACATGATAATTCACGAAAATTCTACGGTAACGGTACATATATTTTTAGGCTTTATAGAATATTTAGAAAATCAGGTAGGTATTGTATAACATTTATTAAATAAGTTCGGTTAAAAATAGTGTTGTTTTGTTAATTGGAAATTAGGAGTTAATGTAACGAATACCCTCAGGCGACGCATATGAAAGAATAGTCCAATCCACGCTCCATTCATAACAGGGCCGCAGTTTGAATTTTGACCAATAGGAATTTGATAAAGGCAACCGATGTTGACGGATGGACAAGAGACGGGCGCAAGTGTCATTTCATTATTAGAAATAAATTAACTTAATTATGTTCTCGTTGTTTTACGAGTTCACATGATTTACAGATTTTAAATAAAGGTTACAAATCTTTGCGAGGATAATACGATATATTTGCTATACATAATAATTATATTTTACATACAATACATTTTTTAACGCGTACGCATCTCTATCCGAATTTGACCTAATCTTGTTACGTTTTCGGGTTAAAGACACACATTGTCCGCTCTCTAAATTAGATAAAAAAATGTCAAAATAACTTATGATACTCACTAATACATTTTCCTTTAATTTTTGACCATTTTCCATTTGGTAAGCAGGTAATCATACCATTTCGAAACATACTATATCCTTCTTCACACTGAAACGAAATCATATTTCCAACAGAATATGTTTCTTTCATGTCTTCCATCAGTACCATATTCTTTAGCAAAGAGGGCATCATGCATGTTATTGCTAAAAACATTGGGAACTCTTATTATGAATGAAATGTATTAATATCAAATCTAAAATAACTAGTTTAGTATAGATTTGGTAAGTGTTACTGAATTTTATTTTTCACGTTTTGACAATAAATCTATCATCTTAAAATGATACCATAAATATATCTAATTATGACAGTTAACAATTTCTTGTTCAACTTATTTTATGAAAAACAGAAAAAATGTAAAACGGGCTTAAACCTTCCTAAGGCCTGTTGTATTATTTTTGCATAAAGTATTTCTTCAAGATGAACTGATATTTCTTTAAAGGTTTTCGGATATATTTTAATTAAAACTTTTAATATTTCCTTTCACATTTTAAAATAGCATACATGTGCTGTGTGAAATAAGAAAAGAGTCAACTATATCTGTAAAGATAGTAATAAAAAGATGTTGACTGAGAAAGTGATATATAAAAATAGAAATAAAATGTTTCTTAACGAAAAACCAACGATGATATATACAGGGCTGGTTGCCACGTCGTCGATTTATACTTCTTGACGTTTCGAGAGACATATCGCTCTCTCCTTCAGAAGTTACTCTTCCACCAGTATTTATCTTCGTTTAAATATTTTGTGTTTTCCAACGATCAGTTGCCTAATTTTGTGTTACCTGTATATCTGTAGAATACTACTGGATGAAGTCCAGGGTTGCGACTACCCTAAAATATATAACTTCAAAAGAATTATCTAATGCTAGGCCTAGCTTGTCATCAAATGGTGGAATATTTGGAAAGTTTCCAGCAGAAGGAAAGAAAAGAAAACTCGACTGCAAGTTAATAAATTACCAAAAATATTATGGGATCAAAGAAAAAGTTTATCCATGCATAAATTGGTGCTGAAATATAAAGAAAAGTCCTGTGACACATTTTTGAAAAAACTCGTTTTGACTGATGAAGGTGTCATGAAAGTTGAAGAAGAGACGATAGACCAACATCGAAGCTGCCTTTGGCACGAGTTAAGATATGGCAGACTGACGGCATCACAAGCGTTTAAATTTAGTCGTTGCAAAATCAAAACTAATCGCATTCATAATGGGAGGAAAAATCCCAGACGCACCGGTCATCAAACGCGGTAGAATGTTGGAAGATAAAAAAAAGGAAAACTTACAGTACCAGACTGGGGAAAAAATGTGGTCTAATGTTTTGCAAAAATTATCCCATGATAGCAGGATCGCCTAATGGAATCTGTGAAGACAATATTATTGAAATTATGTTTCCCATGAATATGAAGACTTTTGAAAATTATGTGGAAAATGTAAAACCGACCCAGAAGTTTTAGGTGCAAACGCAGCTACAAATGTATTTAACATTACCTCAAAAGGGCTACTTCTGTGTAGCTAATTGCAACTACAGTACAAATAAAATATGTAGAAATAATTAATGTTACATGTCATCTCAACTATGAATCAGATTTTCTTAAGATAATGTGTATCCAAAGTACCAAAGTACAATCTGTGGGTAAATAAAATGTATATACTGCATATACTGTTATGGTAAGTTTGTATAAAAATTTAACCAATGAAAGTCGTCAGTGCCGCGAAAAACAACTACTCCGAGGGCTATTTGCCCCTACCGGCATTGAATTACATTCGCGACACCCAGTACAACAGCTAGGATCGTTCATCAGCTGGTCCCACCAGGCACAGACCGGTTTCGGACTTATTAGGACTGGGTGTAGCGAATGTAATTCAACGCCGGTAGGGGCAAATAGCCCTCGGAGTAGTTGTTTTTCGCGGCACTGACGACTTACATTGTGTTTCGCCCTGTATAGGCGACATTCGTGCAATAAAGTACCTGGCAAATTTTAGCAGGTCGCATCCACCGTAGAAGTGGAAGTCAGCGCGATAGATGGAGCCTTTGTGCTTCGCGTACTATTAACTAATGAATCTTGCAACAAAAAATATTAGCATCTTATGTTTACTGTTGACAAAATAGAAGTGATGTCACTTAGACGTCATGACACCAGCGTTTTTGGGCGGATTTTAAACTTAAAATTAAAATATCAATATTTTTCTATAAACCTTTTATTTTCTGCAGAAATAATATATTTTTTGGAAATAGTAAATACTACCAAACATCATAGAACAGTTTTTAAAAATCTGTCATCATGTCTATTGACCAGTCCATTTCTTTATAATTTAGAAAAATATTTATTGCCGAGAAACATTGACTATGTCGATCGATCAATAACGGATTACCATTGATCAGTAATTTTTCCTAATACCGATTAAATGAATTTAATACCAGATATTGACTTTATAATTTGATGTAAAATATCCAGGCTAATATGAGACATATATTCCTTTTGGAAAATATTTCGCAGTTCTATAAATATATCGTATTGAAGTTTTTTGGTAAACATTTTTTTCATCGACCCGATGTTACACATATTGCGCAAAACTAGCCAATATATTGCACATGTTTTGATGAAATAGATAATCTGTGAAATCCGTAAACGTAATGTTTCACGACCGATCGGGTAAGTTTTTTGATACGCATATTTGATGGTTTTCCCTCGACATTATACGAGTACATTTTAGCTTTAAGTCCAGCAAATTCGGTAACTATTCTCCTGCAGCTTTCGTCTTTCATGAGCTTACTTTCTTTATTAACACGAGGCATACCGTACTCATTATCTTCGGGATAGTCTGACGTATCAAACTGCTGGATGTCTCTGTTCATCGTAAATGTCAATGTCCGTAAATTCATGGGTTAAACTGTCCGTGTCCGTATAGTAATAATTTAGCCTGATTGCCGAAATTTTGTTTAATATAATCGTAAAATATGTATAATTTTGGAAAGATCTAAATATTAAATCCAACATAAATCGGCTAAATCGGTTGAACTTAATTTTAAGTCTGTTCACCTCTACTATAACTATGTCTCCCTCGAGAAAAAAAAAAAAAATTATAATAATAAAATGTCTTTATTGAAATAAGTATTGTGATATGTAAAAACAATACAATAGGCAAGGGCGAAGTTTAGCTCAGAACTACTCGCTTAACCCTATATCAAATTAAATTTAAGGAAAAAAAACAGTAATATCAGTAGGAAATAAAATATAAAATAGGCATATAATAATTAATAATAATAATAATAATAATAATAATAATAATAATAATAATAATAATAATAATAATAATAATAATAATAATAATATCTCTACTCCTCATTCTAACTACGAGAATTAGCCCAGAATTCGGAGACTTGTGCGGGAGAGGAGGCGGCATATTATTATTAAGCAAGCCGCATTTGTGCCCAGGAACGACTTATGTTGGTAGGCCCTAACCACCATTCAGTGCAGGAATGAGGGAAACCTGGAAAACCTCATTAATTAGGGGGGCGGTCAAATTCCAACCGGTGTCAATCGCTCGCATTGATCCAAGTCAACATTCTTCCACCCTACCATACCTGCACAGAGGGTGCCAATCCTCCGTACAAGCATAGCTAATCTACGGTCTACCGGCCGCGGGATTCGAAACCCGGGCAGTTAGCACACATCGATTTAAGTACTGACGCCTTAAACCGTGCAGCTATTCGACAGCTTAATATGTACATATAAAAAAGAAAAACAAAAAAAAAACAGGATAAAAGTAGACATAAAACATAGAAATAGTGGAAAACAACTAATGGTAATTTTCAAGTGGATACAGAAGATATATACAAGCATAGCTAATCTACGGTCTACCGGCCGCGGGATTCGAAACCCGGGCAGTTACATCGATTTAAGTACTGACGCCTTAAACCGTGCGGCTATTCGATCGCTTAATATGTACATATAAAAAAGAAAAACAAAAAAAAACAGGATAAAAGTAGACATAAAACATAGAAATAGTGGAAAACAACTAATGGTAATTTTCAAGTGGATACAGAAGATATATAGAATTGGACTTTTTTTTACGAAAACTAGTAACTGAATTAAACTGAAATCTGCTATTAATCGAGTTATAAATAGTACAGGTATTGTAAGAAAATGCGCGAGTAAACATGGTCGAACGGTACTTTGGGATGGAAAAATTATGTAGACTTCTAATATTTATATTATGAACTTCATTTCTACATATTAGTTTTTCTCTTAAGTGGTGAAGATGAATTTATTATACGGTTAATGAACACACTAAAGTTAAGTGTTGTTGATATTTAACCAGCCTAATTGCTTAATTTTTTCAGAAATTCTATCGTATTTTCTTAATCGAAACAAATCTGCAGCAACTATTTTAAATTCTTTGAAGGCGATATTGAGTGATTTTGTCAAGACCAGGTTAATATACAATATTACGGTAATTTAAAATGGATAACATCAATGATTCTACTAATTTTTTTCTTAATTTAAAATTTATTATATTTATATTAGTATAAAGAAACCTTAAAGCAATAAAGTATTTATTAACCAACACAGACACATGTTCATGAAAACGAAGCTTGGAGTCAATGAGTAGACCAAAATTTTTTATAACCTTTACCAAATTTAGAGGTTCGTTATTTATATGAAAATTTAATTCTGTTTGTATTTGTATTTTCATATTTTCTGGAGGAAAGCAAATTTATTAGGGTTAAGTTTCAGATTATTATTTTCCGAGTACTGAAAAATAGATTTTAAGCCACAATTGATTCTGTCACTAGCTACTGAATCACTGTTTTAAAAGAAAAAGACAATTGTATGTCATCAGCATAAGCAATTATATTAGAATATTTAACAGATATTTAAAGAGGACCTAAAACAGAGCCTTGCGGTACTCCAGAAGTGACAGAACCAATCTGGGAAAATTTATCATTGATTGTAACTATTTGATGTCGATTGTAAAGATATGATTTAAAGAAATTTAAGAATGTAATATCAATCTCATGATAACGTAACTTCTCACAGAGGAAGGTATGATCAACAGTGTCAAAAGCCTTGGAAAAATCTAACAGAACAAGAACAGTTGAATTTCGTACATCTAAGTTCCCCAGTATATTGTCTGAATCTTAGCTAACACTGCGGCAGTACTAAAACATTTTCTAAAACCAGATTGTTGTGTAGTTACAATATTATTCATAGTTACATAAGAAAGAAGTTGATTGTAAATAATTTTTTCAAATATTTTAGATAACGCCGAAATAAGGCTTATATGATGAAGATCGCTATAGGATACAGGATTTTTTTATTTTGGGAAGGGGTTTAACGACTGAGGTTTTCCAAAAATCAGGAAAATAACCTCTTTCCAGGCAACAATTCAGAACATGACACAAAATGGTTATCCAACAAAGGGAAGCATAATTGAAGTATTTTGGCATTAATATTATCAATACCATAAGCATAGGACTTTAAACTAAATAATATAATATGAAAATCATTTTGGATAAAAATGAAAATCAAATTTTCTATTTTTATCCCAGTCACAAGTGTTTGTGCAATTATTTGTAGGAGTGAAATCAGATAAAAAATATTGATTAATTTCATCAAGATTCCAAAGATTAGGAAGAACATCTAAATTTTTACTTTATAATATTAAAAAAATTGAGTGTCACAATTATTGCTTTCTGTCTGGATTATTTAATTGAACATTAAGAAATGCTTTTTTCTCTCGTCTTGTCGTATATTGCCAAACTGTGAAAATTTAATTTTGCGATCAAATATTTTGCCCCATGTTGACCTTCTCATTGTGACCAGCTTAAAGTCCTTATGTTTACGCACATTTTCCATGGTTTTACCAAAAACGGCATTATTCATTAATTTAAACAAATTTTTCTCAAACTGATTACTCGTCTGTTTCCGTAAATCCACATTGAAATTTATATATTTTTATAGCTCAGCAGATTGGTTAAAATTCAGAATTTTGTGTTCTTTAATATTCTTTAATCCCCGCTCCATACACCGTTTCAGTTGTCTGTAATGGATGACGTAACCGGTTTTCGAAAAAAGTGTCGATAATTTTGATTGCTTGCCTCCTGGGGGAGCCATTTGTTCCGGGCGCAGGGGCAAGTCTTTAGGTTGTAGAATTGCTCGACGGGTACCCACTCGAATCCCCCGGTTGGAAGGGAAAGAGACATCGCCACGCCATATAAGTTATTTACATCAGTACATGATGTATTTGTCGGGTTCGTTCGGGTTGTATGTCTTGCCCATGTACTTGTTAACATTTGAGTGGACACTTAGGCTACGCCACCTTAGATCCCCTTCAGATAACTAAAACTTTGTCAATGTCAGTGTGTAATTCTAATATATATTTAGTCATTTTTAGCCTGCGAGGTGTGGTGTAGTAATGTAAAGGGTCCTGACCGTAAGTTTTTAAACAATTTTCACGAAAATTACCGAAAATATCAGACAAAAGTGGAACGTCAATTTTCAGATACAAGTCCCCAAATTTTGAATATTGAATGCACTTCAGACATTAGTCGCGTGCTCGTAAGCGCTGTCTAAAATAGCTTCGTCAGTTAGTTTACTGTAGATGTCGTCTTTAGTCGGTAATGTTACGTCATTTAATTTTTCCCACGAATTTAAATAATCATAAGGAAAAACGCTTTTCCTGGTTAAAAGACGGAAAGTTTCCTCCGAAACACAATGGAAGTTAGTGATTTTTTTTTTGGCTGTCGTCGAGGTAAGAGGACAATTTTTCGATTTTATCAGCCATAAAACGGAAAGAATCTATAAATCTCAATTTAATTCTGGTGTCCTTTACGTCTTTTGTAAAGGAAATGTATTTTTCCTCATTTATTGGTAAAAGTATTGCTCTGAAATGACTAGGTGACTGCCGTAAGAAGACAAGTAATGGAGAACAACCAGTATCACGTGACTGTATAATTTAAGTCGCAAGAATTATGACAAGGTCCCCGGTAGACTGAATTTTGATGTGAATGATCCATAATTTTGATATCGAAAGTGGTAAACGGTTTTTCACAAATGTGACAAAATTTCGCGTTATCATGTTTGAATTTTTGCGCGGAACTCAAAGGCTCCATCAGCTTCGGGTGAGATAGGATGTCATTTACCTCGCCGGCAATTTGTTCCCGGACGAACCACTCCTGGCAATCACTACCTCGATACAATTTAAAACGCGACAGGCTATCATAATAAGAACATTTCATATAATAGACGACACTAAACGCGGTATGTTTTTGTACGTGTTGAGTATTTAAATTTAGATCATTATTATCATCACACTGTTCCAAAATACATTCAAAATCAGCATAAATGGCGAACGGTACCCTCTCTTTAAAGCGACAATTTTTAAATTGTAATAATTTTTCTTGCTCACCCGGTAGCTCAACTTTGTTTTAGTATTTGTTTATATAACGGTAATATAAAGAACGTTTTGGTCACGTACTTTCCAAGAATGCATCCATATCAGTTTCCGGGAAAAAAGGATAACTCATATTTGCCTTTGAAGTTTGTTTACATAACTGTTCAAAAGCCCCGAAAAAAATCAAAGAAAAAAGTAATAAATCATATACTTGTTACTGTAATAACAACAATACCTGGGCCGGAAATGGTGATGACGTCATCATTGTTTCCAAGAATGTGAGTCATGCCAACCGTTGCAATAAAAAATAGCTGCTATTTTTTGAAATAGTTCAAATGTAAAATGCATTTAAAACATACCTTTCGGTGGACACCCTGTATATGCCAACTCATATTTATACGTAAACATTCGATTGTGAATGTATTATTATTATTGTTATTATTAATAACGAGGTGAGCAAATTTTTGTTTACTATGTATACAGGGTGTCCCGGTCCTTGATAGAAAAAAGTCCAGTACAAATAGATGAGGTCAAAATAATATCAGTTCCTCATATACATTTTTTTCATACGGGTCTTCGTTAACAAGTTACGGGGCCTCAAAAGTGAAAATTAAAAAGTTATTTTTTTACAGTCTCTAAACTATTAACTTCAGCATAATGCAAATTTGGTGATCGATAACACATGCGTATAGCTTGTTTTTTATGTTGTAAGTGAAACTTCATTATGCCCAGAATGCCAGGGACGGTTTGTGCCCAATGGTTAATAACCCTGAATGTTTGCATACATGATGATCGTAATTTGCCTGCATCAAATAAGTTCCCTGAAGAATTTGCCAACAACCCACTTGGTTCAACTCGGTAAAATTAACAGTTTAGGAAATATTTGTGATTTTATGTCACAGTGCACATCGAGCGATACCTCCACCATTTTTTGTTTTTAATTTTTAATTGCACATAATTACTATGTTAGAACCGGAATTTGAAAAAATAAACTATTGATACGTGTTTCTATAGATCAAAGGAAGTCTCTATATAAATATGACTCCCACCCAAAGTTATACCCTGTATATGAGGTTGAACCGCGTCTGAGATTGTTTAAGTCTTGACGTATCGGATCCCGTTTTGGGGCCATATCAAGAGTTTTAAAGTTAGTTAAATTTTGAAGGAAAAGGATGGAAAAGGATGATCGAACGATATCGACGCTTCAGTCTCCCTACTTCTCAGGGATCTTTAAGGGGCCTGGATGCCTCGATCTACCTACTCTGTAGAGAGGGTGAAACGTAAAATGATGGAAAGCAACGACCGAATGATACTTTACGAAATATTTTTGGAAAACATGTTTTGTCGCGGACGCGAATTTTCGAGGCTGTGACGTCACCTTCAGTGCACGTCCGCCTAATTTTAGTTGGGTAGCGGAGCTTCGTGACGACACCGTTCAGTGCACGTCCGCCTATTTTGAGTTGGGCGACGGCACTTTCCCGGCCGACGGAGCGCTTCCCACTCATTCCAGAAAACCGTTATAATTCTGCTGCGCTGTGATTGGTTCCCGAGCAGAATTGATCGGTACGACGTCAATAAAGCATATAAATACTTCCCGAAAAAGGGTGAAGTAAGCTTTTTTCTACGAGACTTGACCGAGTGAGGTTCTCGCATGTTAATCGCTGCATGCGCACCATAACTTTCTGCACATAGCTTATTTTTCCAAATTGCTCGCACCCAGGTCGCGACCTTTTGATTTTAAATTCTTTCGCTTACCGCGTATACAGGGTACTGCAAGAGTCAGTTGTCTGAACACCGGCCAGCAATTGACTCAATCCAGGGATTCGCAAATGAAAAGTCTATCAACGAGATTCGCAATTTTTATTCACAGTCTGCAATTTTTATTGAGGACTTTAAACTCAAACCACCGTGGCAATCGCGTGCCTCAACGTGGGACAAATTACCGGTGGAGTTACTCGACCGTTGCCGAGCGCCTGCAAGGATTTACGGTCGTTTAACCCCACAGAAGCCTGAACAGGAGCAACCCACTAGTAGGCCTTACACTGGGTTTGGTACCGGCGCCTACCCTAAGCCACAGAAGCAACAAGACAGAGCCAGCGTTCTAACGACGGGGCGCGACAGTAAGCCGCCCCCGAGGAAGCGACTGTGCCCAAGCGAGAAAAAGACGACCATCGGTCAACCGTGAATAAATCGCTTCGTGCTCCGCTGGTACGCCGTAAAACGGGCTTACGTGCGGCCAGTTCCCGGGAACTGTTGAGGTGGTGAAGATTCGCGTTCGCGTAGGGACTTTGCTATGCACGCCACCGGCATAGGGAGGTTCCTAAGAAGCAGGGCAGGGAATCTGCGAGAAGACACGCCTCAAATTCAGCGTTCATGGAGGAACATCGAAGAAAGTTTGTCATATTTTTTTGTTATTTTGACTAGAGGTGTCAGCCCAGGAAGCTTCGCTTTCACACCCTGTGATTAAAAGATCGTAGAACCCTTAGAAAACATTTTAAGAAAACATGTTTGTCATTTTTGTTGTTGTTTTGACTAGAGGTGTCAGCTCAGGAACTTTATAGGAGCATCGCTTTTACTCTTCTTACCCAAAAATTCGAAACTAGGTAATTTATTTTGAATTTAATTATTTTTGACTTACCGCGACAAGTTGTATTAGGTTGTGTCCAATAACCATCAATAATGCAGGTTGTAATATTGTCACCATAAAGTTTGTATCCAGGTCTACATTTATATTCGACAAAATGTGTTGTTCCATTTCCCACAGCATATAGAGACTGTATATCAATGTATCCGTTGTTTGGAGCTGTGGGAAGTTGCTTTATCGAACAATCTGTAGAATTTGATTTACTTAAGCTTTGTTCTTTCTTCATACACTGTGGTGGCTGAGAGTCCCATGTACCTAAAAAATTAATAATCATTTAACTGTTTTATGTTAATTAACAACTGATTATTTTATAGGTCTATTAATAATATTACTATCTGATCTACCTAATGATAATATTTTAAATCTTTCTGAGATTTTTTTAACTCATTAAAATTTTGCTGTTTCATAAAATTGTATTTTAAAGAAGCATCGGTGCTCAGACAGCACCATATATTCCGAGAATATTCTCTAAACCTTCTAAAAAGATTATATATAATATTCTGAATAAACCTAGAAAATTCATAGAAGTTCATCTATCTACCGATAAATACAGGGTGATTCAGTCATAATGTCATTAATTTTAACCACGGTTTCGGAAGGCTTAATAAAGACAGAAAAACGGAAAAAAAATTTTTTTACTCGACTTTTAAAAATGAAGGAAATCAACTCATAACTCCCACTAAGAGGACGGCCCTGCCAGATGCCCGGATGCTCGGAAAATTTTGTAACGTAATGTCACGAATCAGTCGTCAGCTGAAGCGAACAGCGTTGCCAAGTTCACATCATAATCTGTGGTTTCGAGTTAAACGTATGCAAGTAAATAAAGGAGCATGCTGCATTTTATTATAAATAATTTTAACAATTGTATTAACTTAGTGCAAAATGTTTTAACTTCCCGAAGTCAACTTTCGTTAAAAGAAAATAAATAAAGCAGTGGTTTGTAGGCACACCGTATTTTATCAAATAAAAAAAGTCGGCACACTAAATACGGTTACAGACGGTTACAAAACCATTAACAATTTAAAGCGTTTATTCAAATCTACCACCCTCCATATCTCCCGCATTTTTTCCGCAAAAGAGTGAACATCACACCATAAAGATGGAGAGGGGATGTGGATTGGAAAGACACCGGCACACGAAACCGTTAGTTTAATTTTATTAACTAAGTGCTCTGGACGGATGAATGCTGTTTTACTCATGCTGGCATTTTAAACAGGTAAAGAACATAATACTTTCTCAAAAACAATAAGTACTGTCGTGGAATCGGGGTCCAACGCCGTTGGGTTTTGTTCAGAAACCCCGCCCCTTTTCTACGTCACGACTCCTATAAATTGAAGCGACGCGCAGCTTCCAGGATCAGTGTTTCGACCGCGAGCGAACCGAACGGACGACGAGAAGTCAAGACGACGACTTCACCAGCGACTTAATTACGTGACCAGGAGAACGACTTTGAACGTGAACGCGACAACCGCGATTTGGAAAAGCGCATCGGTAGTAGACCGTCCGCCACAGGAAAGCAACCGCGACGTGATCGGGCTACCTAACCAGCAGCACCAGAGGTTTTTGTTGTGGACCCCCGCAACAAATTTCTCAAATTAAGAATTCGCTAAAGCTTCGAACTCGGCGACGAACAAAGGAGTAAGCTTAGTGCTAACGTGCTTTTGTAAGTCCCCGGAGAGATAACTACTCTCCTAAACAAAAGTTAAATACCTTTGAACTCGGTGCCGAACAGAAGAGTTAGCTTGGTGCTAACGTGCTTCTGTAGGCCTCAGGAGAGAAAACTACTCTCCTAAAACAAAAGTTACATACTTTTTGAACTCCAGGACGTAGTGGAAGAGATAACCTAGTGTTATCGCACTCCACCGGCCCGACGAGACGGCCAGTCTCGCAAATAAAAGGCCAACCCCAACGGCGGTGCCTTACGTATAGGTTACCTGCCGTTTTATAAAGAATTCGTAGGTATTTTAAAAAGAATTCGCCAACGAGGGATCGTGTGCCGGAAAATTTCGTTTACCACCAAGTCCACAACAATAGTTATCGACCGACGTGGGAGTTAGCGACCGGCTAACCTGCGGAGTATCCATTCGGGGTAATAGCGGCGACAGCGGCGGCTGTAAATTGCATAAAAAAATCTAGAATGGATCCGGATCGAAGACAGTATCTACCTAGGTTACACCAAAGTTTACATTTGCACTAAAGTTTACATTTATTATGTAAACTTTGATTATACGCAACTGCATATTGAATAATAAATTGAAATACTAAAACTGCGTATTATTTATAGTTTTTCCGATTTCAGTTGAAGAACCAACAACTTGAGAGTATGTACCAGGGTCGCTACGCAGTAACTAGGCATTGAAACTGAAATATATGAAAAACTTGTTCCCATATTTATTTAACCATACCCATATACCAGTCTGGTCGAACTAAACGTGCAGGTGGTAGAAATGTATACGCCCAGTTGAAGAATGCACTTGCGGGCAAACAGCATTCACCCACAGTTGCTCTGGTCGGCTGCGTCATAAATTTCAGTTGTCAACAAGTCGTCTGGCAGCAACGCAGAATTTGGTGTGATATTTTGTTTACTAATATTATTACAACATGGCATTTTGAAGACCTTTTGAAACGGAACAAAACGAAATTTACCGTCAATATAATAAAATTGTTTGTGGACATAAATAATTAAAATATGTTGTTGACCAAATAAACATATAATAGAAATTTTTTACACATTATATACAAATTATTGTAATTTTTTACCTTTAGCAGAAAACTTTTTTAGGGACGCCTATGAATCTCATTAAATTTTATTGCTCTATTTTTTTATACGTGTTCAACTGACTTCGGAAAGACATAATAAATTATAAAACGTGAAAACGTTAATAATAAAAATGATAAATTGTAATAACCGTACAGGGTGATTCACTATATTTTGACCCACCCTTTAACTTTTTTGTTTTAAGAGTTATAAAAAATGTGAAATATAAAAGTTGCACGAGTTGTTGTGAATTTTTCGAAAATGATAGTAGAAAAACAATTGAAGCCCAAACACAATGGCCGCGGATGTTAACTTTGTTAAGTTAAATGGAACACTCTGTATATTTTTACATATTTGGATAGAACGTTCCCTGACGAGCATAGTCAAGTAGGGTTTGTTGGGTCCATCGCTAACAATAAGCGAGATATTATTAAAAAACGAAAAGAGGGTTTTTTATTAAGATAATAAGATATCTTGTAATTGTTAAACCTTTTTCAGGCATTTTTGCCTTTTTCCAATTACGTAAGGATTTACAGATTTAGTTGTAATATATTCTGACATATCGGTCCAAAATGCGTATAGGTATTTTAACTAAATCTCAATAATTAGGCCGTGAGGGGCCTAATTACCCATGGACAATGGTATATGGTAGGCCGTGTCAGTGACAGGTAATGTCATGACAACATTGTTATTGTTTGACAGTTTTTATTATTATTTAATTAAAATGAGTTACAAAGAAGTAGAAAATTGAAATATTATAGGAATTAAAATAGAGCAAAGTTCTTTTCCATATTCTATTTTAATTCTAAATAATTTTCTACTTCTGTGTAACATATTTTAATTAAATGATAATGCATACTGTCAATCAATAACAATGTTGTGAAGACATTACTACCTGTCACTGTCACGACCTACCATATAATGTCCATGAGACTTCTCACGGCCTAATTAGTGAGATTTCGTTACATTACCTATACGCATTTTGGACTGTATTATTGATATTGAAAATCTGTAAATACTTACGTGATTGGAAAAACGGCAGAAATGCCTGAAAGAGGTCTAACAATTACAAGATGTATTATTTTCTTAATAAAAAACTTTCTTTTCGTTTTTTAAAAGTATCTTGCTTATTGTTAGAAATGAACTCAACAAACCCTATATGGCTATGCGCGACAGGGAACGTTCTTTCCAAATATGTAAAAATATACAGGGTGTTCCATTTAACTTAACAAAGTTAACATCCGCGGCCATTTTGTTTGGACTTCATTTGTTGTTCTACTATCATCTTAGAAAAATTCATAAAAAATCGTGCAACTTTTATATTTCACATTTTTTTATAACTCTTAAAAAAGAAAGTTAAAGGGGGGTCAAAATATAGTGAATCACCCTGTACATCCCAAAACAATCATCCCTATTCATTACATTCAATTTGATGACACGATTTTCCTTTGATAAAAGAGCGACAACTTTTTTCTCTACTTGCATAGAATACGGTCCTACTACAGTTCGTATTAGTCTAGGAGCCAGATAGGGTTCCGTGTACTAGTTATAAAAATAAACTTTTTACAGCCATTTAAACATTTAACTTGTTGATAACAATTAAACTGACCACTTTCAGGCTTTGCGACTAAGTAAGTCGTATCAAAGATGCCGCTGAAGAAATACGTAACAACCCTGGTTTATTCCATCGCACCCACCGCTCATCTATCCAACGTGTACACTTGTGCATAGACGGTAACGGTAATATATTTGAACATTTGCTGTAAACCCGAAGGCTTAGAGCAAATTAAAAAATTAACATTATGATGTTCATAAAAAATGATTTTTTGGCAAGGCATGCTCAGACCTCCTCGAGGTTCTTGCTAGGCAACAATAACAATTTAATATGTTGATTGCATAATTATAAAAAATAATTTATGGCATTTTAAATTATTAGTTGACGTGAGTAAACCGTTTATTTATTGTCTTTATATGAGCGAAAATATATAAACATGGCAACGTTGCATCTAGGGCACCTTGTTTATATCGTAGCCGTGCGCAAACTGTGAATAACCGGCTGACGTCAGCCGGTCAGTAACAGCCTGAAAAGGGGGTTAAATAATGATTTGAAAATATATTTTTTTTCAGCTTGAATGTGCATTTAATCTAACCCTGTATACAGGGTTAGAACTATTTAAAGGGAGACTACAGGGATATCGGAAACCGTTAGTATACAGGGTAGCTCAAATTACAAAAAAGTTGCACAATTATGAGGCGAGTGTTTTGGTGAAAACAGCTCCAAGATATCTTCGATAGTTTCTGTGATATCTCGAAAAAAGTGAAAATATCGATTTTCTATTTTTTTTATAACTCATTTGTTTTTAAGATAGCTTCACAAAATTTTGTATCTAGGCATTATCCAACATGACGATTTTAATGGTGAGTTCAGAATTTTTCTCTCTTCCATTGCGATAGTCAACTTTTTTCTCTTATGGACGCCATATTGGTTCTCCTCATG